GATTTGAGCCCCGTGCTCTATGGCAACAGGAACTTCATAGAAGGTAGTTTCATGCCTAGTCCGTCAAACTTCTTTTCTCCGTCTACATCCATGGACTTATTCAACAATTTTCCATATCAATAGTTTTTCTCATTTATTTTCTTGTTATCAAATTCTTTTACTTCAAAGAAAGAATGGGAACATATTGTAGGAGAATTATTCAGAGATGTGGATTCTCTTAGTTTAATTTCTTGGAGATTTCTGGGTTTCTTGAGGTTCTTTTTTTTAGCAGAGTTAGAGGGTTGAATTTCATTGGTGAAGACAATAGAATATTAAGGGATTGAGCTGGAATTTTGATATTCTTTTTGGTGGGAAGGCAGGTGGGAAAGTTATTGCTTAGTAGTTAGTTTAATATTGTGGACCATAAGATGGAGAGTGCCTAGCTCTCATAATCTTATGATATCCATCCTTGTGTTTTTTATACCATTTCTTATCATGTTCCTTTGGCATGTAATTTGCAATACATATATGGTTGACCTTTCTCATTGCTCTTTTCAGTTTGTTTTCTCTGTGCTGTTGAACTAACTTATACTAATGCACTTTCACATCCTTCTGCTTGCAACATACATATAGCTATCGCAAGTATAATGTATAATTGTACATGTATTCATGTTTCTTTTGTATACGTAAAAGCAATATTTAGGGAGAGAAAATCGAACATATACAAATGCACACACATATTAGTTATTGATAAAACTTGACATGAAAATGACAAGGAAATTTTGTTTTTCTTGAAAAGTATAGCATATCATATATGCATTGTTAGCTGTCAACAATTGAGTTGTAATTGATAACTCATTATATTTACGCTATGTTTGGCCAAAAGAATTTCCAAATTTTAAAAGATTGAGGTCAAGTTAGTAAGTAATGAATTATAGAACGTTAGATAGATGGATTAAAAAATGCACTCCATGAGCATTAATTGCAAAGGCATTGTATGAAGGATTCGTAAATGCCTTACTCAAACAAGTGATTTGCAAATCCCCTCGCGTGTCTTTGTAATGCTCACGAAGTTGATTTCTAATCCTTCTAACATTTTGTAGTTCATTCCCTACTAACTTGGCATCAATCCTTAACACAGCCTTAAGTATATTGAATGTGGAGGTGAATGAGTTTTCCCTTTGACAGCATTAGTCAAATTACACATAAAGAAAATTTATCTCTTCCGATCCTTCAATTTTGAGGGATTATAAAGTTTCTTAGTGAGTAATCATCTTCTACTTTAAATTGTAGCATCAAGTTGAACACAATTTTTTCATTTCAGCCTTGAACATATCTTTTCTCCCCTCTTCTCTTGTAAACACCAATACCTGACAAATTATACTTGAAAAAGAAGAAGAAAAAAATACAAGGGAGACTTGTCCCAATTTCTGTGCGCGACAAAAAAACACAAGAAATGTCGAAACAACTTTGTGATGTTTCAATGCTTTGAATATAGTGAGATATTTTTCAATCCAATCCTAGAAACAAAATCTATAATAAAGAATTGGTATGATCCAACTATTAAGGAAGGTCGCAACAAGTAAAAAGTTGTGTGAAGTACACGAAGGGTCTTTCAACATATTTAGAATACTGTGAGTTATATTCCAATCCAACCCTTATCAACATAGAGGGATGTATCGAATCTTGGACTTATACCAATTAAGAAGAAAAATATCATTAAGCTTAATTTCTCTTTTTTTCTTGCTCCCAAAATTTATGTATTCGACAAAAAAAAAAAAAAAAAAAACTACGCAGCTGGCGGTACATCTATATGATTTAGGGAATTTTACACAAATGACACTAACTGAATCTTATCACTTTTGTGTTTTTACCAACTGCGACTACAAAATAACAGTTAATTACCTAGCTAGGCTCGAAACACAATATGCTACATTCAATTACCTACCATGCACACTTTTGTTTTGTTAGTCGCGTGACTTGCATAGTCTCAACTTTTTTAGGTCAATTTCGTTAATTTACAAGCAGGAGCAGAATAAAAGTGAAAAGAAAATTCTTATTCTTATTATATAGAGAATTGTTATTGACATTCCAATAGAATAATGATGATTTTTTTATTATGAAACAGAAGCTAATATTATAGAGTTTTGGAACATTCTAAAAATTGCAATTTTGCATGCATGCATGGAACTATGCCCAGGTTATTCAAATGGAAAAATAAAATAGAAAATGTTGTATGGCCAATTCATCCCTCCATAAATCTACAGACCGGACCCGAGCAAAAATTGTTAATGGCCAACCAAGCTAACCCTACGAAGTACCAAGAACAAAATGCCTTGTGGCTTGTGCTTTGATTACTTCAACCTTGAATTTTACAGACTCCTCAAAACTCCAGCACTAATTTGTATTCTCCACGAGTAGTCCAGGACTCTCCAACTACACCATATAAATATAAATATATGAGAAAATGCTAAGGGGACTATCTCAAAAGTATGACTTTCTATAAACTTTCTGCCGTCTCACAGTTTAACATCAATTCTCATGCCAACATTACAAAATATGGTGCAAAAAAAATGAGGTGACAGAGGATCCATGATGAGTCTCCTTAACATTTATCTAAAGGGTAATGCTAGGGAGACTAAATTTTTTAACTAAATTTTGTAAACCAAATGCTAAGGTTGTTGATGATTGGATTATTACTTAACTATTGATTAACATGTTTATTTCTTATTAGTGACACATCATTTGATTTGCAAATTTGGTTGTACTTAACATTATCCTTCTCTACATATATATATATATATATATATATATATATTTGTGTGTGTGTGCGCGCGTGTGTGTATGTTTGTGTATGATTAATCTGACTTTTACAGATTAATTTTACTTTAACTAATAATAACAATGTGATTAATCAAAGAAGTTTCCTAGATTTGGTATTTTTGACTACGTAAAAGTAAACTCCTTCACTTGCTCACTTTATTATTGCTTCCCTGTAGAAGATTAGAATAAAGTATTGCCGTTAATTATCTGGTGCCTGACGAGACATCCATTTTCGGAGGCCTCAAAGTCAACATATTCATTTGCGTGCTTGGTATACTTTTATTTTTAATAACTTTATTCTAAGTATCAGATAACAATGCTTGGAGTGGTTAAGTGCACATAATTAAGGATAGATTATTCCACAAAAGATCAATTTGTAACATTAATTGTTGAAAAAAAGAAGTTGCATTTAGGTTGGCGGCCTCAACAGGCTGGATTAATACAGAAGTCCAGGTTAGACATCAGCCTTTCTTAACCTAATACACGGATATACAGACACGTGCAAGTTATATAACTATAACTACAAAGAAAGGATACTATTTGTTTCACGATAGATGATAAAAGAATAATATATATATATATATATATATTTATCGGCTTGAAATAATGAAAATAATAAAATCTCCAACATTAAGTTAAAATGATGTAGATTTTAGTTATCAATATTGGACCGACTAATCTCCTACATTAAGATAAAAAAGAAGTTCGAGTCTCTCATCTCTCACCGACTCTCTCATGGATCTTAAGATATCGTCATTCAACATCGCAAATAGGAATGGGGGCAGGAGATGGCCAACTAAGACTAGTGGTGGCAGTAGTTATAGTAACGGTGGCGGTGATGGCAATTGTAGTATAGGTACCTTGATGCTCATTGGTAATTATTGTAAATTGAGTTCCATCTCCTTAAACGCAACATCTAAAGAAAATAACGGCTTTTCACGGTGAAACTTGTGTGTTCCCAATGTGAAAACTATATATTGTGAGGCTCTGCACTTTGATAGTCTGATGTCATGGTAAGCCTAATCAACCAATAATTCATGTATTAATTGAAGAAAGAATACTTCGGTTTAAGTTTGACATATCCATAAAGTGTTCTTAATTTAAGTTGATAGTCGATCACATGAGCATGATGACGGGTATGACTATACTGTCAGTAACAATTCCACTTATATATTTACCTATACTTAAACAAAAAAAAAAAAAAAAAAAGGTGTTAAAAATGTTATTAACAAGCAGGCTTAGGGCAAGTAACCAATATTCAAAATTATGCAAGATTGAGTACCCTAGACACAATTGTTTCATCAATTACCTTTTTTAAACAAAGTGTGGTATGACAAATGAGACACATGCCTTGACCATTAAGGCCTATTTCCTCGTAGTTGCGTAGAGTATGAGAAGTGAAAATAATAACATTAGTATTTTGGATCGTTTATAACATGCTGAAAAGGACTGGCAACAACTATAGCACTATGGCTTTGACAATTTTTCATTTATCACTTGAATCTCGCACTCTGCATTCCTTCTTTCTTTTCAATGTTTTCATACTGTGACGAGAGAGAGAGAGAGAGAGAGAGAAATGACATATAAATTTCTCCCCTCCCTGGCAGCTTCGGCGGATCATCCTTTACCTAAAGCTTCTGGAGTTTTTCTTTTGTGGCCACTCTTGGGCCTCTTTATTTTGACCTCATTGGGTGTGGGGTGAAGCCCATTTATGTCCTTGTACGTAAATATTGCAGGAGACAAAAACTGTGGTAAATCTCTCCGCACATTCTTTTTTAAGGTATTGAGATCCTCTCTAGATGTCAGAGCCTACGAATCTAACAATCCGGACACTTTAAGACAGATATATAAACGTTGGTGAAAGATTGTGTGTGAAGTAAGCCAATAGAATGGGCTCATGGGGCTGCATGACTTAAATTCAAGAATCTGGATTACTAAGTCTGTCGACTCTAAAGTGTGAGATTCAGAGAGGATCTCAATCCGATTTTAAGAAGTGCTGATGTGCATTATTTGGACCCCAACCATACTTTGTTAGGTGGTAAACTGTAAAAACTTTTAGTTCATGGTAGTATTTGCGCACTTACCTAAAAGTCCGAGTGCCATATTTACAGATTTCACAATTAGTTTTCATTCAATGGGAACAAAGCTGCCCTAAACAGGCAGGACAGGAAGTCTAGCACTAAAACTACATCCATGCATCACTAAAATTAGCAGCATCTTGAAGTTAAACTAAACATAATATACAGGGTTTGATTAAAATACATCACATGACCGATGGACAATATGAATTAAGAGGCACGGGAGCACAAGTAATATCAACATTATTGCTCAACGTACTAACTGGACTCTGCCCGTAACAGGTTAAGGGCTTCGCAACGTCTTTCTCCCCGACACCAACACTACTATTTGTTAACTGTGGAAATTGCTTTGCCCTAAATACTCCCCCACAAATAAAACTTTGTCTGAAATCCTACAACCCGATAAATTCAATCATGTTATTAACTTGTCCAGAAGAGCTATAAGATTTTTGTTTTCTTTACTTGTGAAAGGAAAGGAAGTAGAAAAGCTACAAACAAGCAGAGGTTTCGGGACTCACTTCGATACTGCTCAGGCAGTATAACTGACGTGAAAACTAAGAGCTCAGCATCCTCCAGCACAGCTCTCATAGCTAAATCATCCTGGATCATGCTAACCACCAGGGTATCAAAATCCTTCTCATTTCTGTACCAAAAAATTAAAAGAAAAGGGATGTTGCTTAAATCCAATCCATACAGGAAAAGTAGATGGAAACAAGAAACACGGTCAAATTTATCACCTTTCGTTATCAGGAAAGAAATAAAGAGCAATACTCTGATCGTTAGGTCCACACTTCTCGAAAGCTTTGGGCCACACATCTGTTTTATTAACCAGTTCTGGAAAAAGCAGCAACGGTAGCAATTCTGCCTCCTCACGTACTTTAGGACATGCTAAGCTAGAAAGATGGGCTACAAGTCCACTAACAATGTTGAAGTCTTCGTTGAATATGCTGAGACTTCCCCTGTCCTTTAGACAAAGCATCTCACAGTTATACCCTGCATTAGATGTGCTTGAACACGTTCACCATAACTCAAAAGAGTCGGAAAGCAAAAAAAGTTTTACCTCCAGATTGGATCAATAATAGGCTGTGCAGCAACATAACAAATGATTGCTGAGATTTTTAAAGGGTTGCAAGTAGTAACTAGAGAGGTTTCCACAGATTTGGCAACGTCATCGGAGGAATTGAATTCATCCTTATGAACCTCACTGCACCGACTACCAAGCTTCTGACCATTATCACAATCATTACTACCCTTGGCCTCACGTTGAGGGGTACTACCTTCACATATCTGCACCTTTGTGTTAGCCCCTTCATATACCTTCATGTTAGGCCCTTCACATATCTGCACCTTCATGTTAGCCCCTTCACATTTCCGCACCGTCTTTTTAGCCCCGTATATAGGTAAAGTCTTTCTGTTACTCTTCTTTTTCCTCCTCTTCTTAAACTTCTTGTTAAGACAAATTTCCGTTGATCTTACTGATTTATCAATTCTAGAAGGTTTTACAATCTTTGGATCACAATCCTCACAAAGCCAAGTCAGATCTTCATCAAAAATATTATGTGCTGGTACATTAAGGCAATAACTGGAAAACAGAAATAAAAGAGAAGATTCGTCAATCAACCAGCAGCACATGCAGAACCAATTACAAAAATATTGAGGGTTCGAAGTAGGTCACTTTGTGTGCTCTTATATTTGTACATATGATTTCAAGCACTGAACCCAAACTTCAATAACCAGGAAATGAGCATATTTTAGAATAATGTGGCACATATATAACAGTACTGTCGCATCTTTTTAAGGGGACTGAAAAAAGAAAAACAAAAGCACAATTGAAACAAGTTATACCGATGAAGAGCATAATTCTGGCACTTGTCACAGTAAAGCAAAGCATCCTCGATACCCTTGTCCCACACGTTTGACAAACAGTCACCTGCATCTAGTACACCATAATCAACGTTAGCGTTTTTCTTCCCTATTTATTAATCAATCGGCAGAAAATAACAACAATCGGAAGTCCCACAGCCCAAACCAAATATATACTTGCAAAATACTAACTGCATATAAGCAACCAAACAGAAGAAGCGTAAAGTATAAAGTGATGTGGATGTAAAATATAAATTTCACCCATTCAACCCTTAATCATATGAACAATCCAAAGTTCCAAAATTAAAAAAACAAATGTTTCCGTTCACCCTTAATCTTTGAATCAGCCAAAAAGGTGTGATTTCACAAACCTTGACATTTAGACAAAGGTTACCATTAAAAACATCTATTTAATACCCCTGAATCAAATAACAACTGCTACACCAATGAACCAATAAACCCATTTTTATTGTATACGAATTGGAACAGTGGAAGGTTACGAATTGCACACACATATAAATGCTAAATATATCACCCCCAACAATTAGCAACACAAAATCTGATAAAAACAGTCAATCAAATCAGAAGTCTTCTTTATTCCCCCTTCCCCTATTGACTGATAAAAGAGGACATAACCACGTCAAGCACCGCTAAATTTGGACAATAATGGTAAAAAACGGTGATTCTCAAACACATGTAAATATAGGGGTTTGATATCCACAAACATTTTTTTACTTTTCACATACCTCTTGTTAATTTCTGTCATTTGATCTTCTTTAATTCAGTCGATCCAATGCCCACAAATTAAGAGGGTGTATGAAGTAAAAAGAGGGTGTGTGGATAGCACACCCCTAAATATAATGCATGTTATGCAGTTTAATTGGAGAATGTACAACTACTAAAAGTGAAAAATTAGAACCATTAAAGTACAGGCAGGTATATTGTAATCTGATTAACCATCATTCTCCCAAATCTTAATACATTCTCCGTCATCAAATCAGTTGGGGGTTTTTTTTTTTTTTTTTAACTATTGGGTTTGAAGTATTTTTCTTTACAGATCAAGTACCATCATCTTTTAGGATAATATACTCACTGAATTCGTTACTCACTTGTAAGTTTCGGAAAAGAACCAAATAGTTTCAAAATGAAAGCGAAATTATGGTACAGTACATGCACACTGCAGATATAACAATCAAAATATGGTACAGCATATACACCAGTCTCTACTTTTGACGGTCACAATATAAAATAAAATTTAACATAATGGACCATCGTTGAATGACGTCGTCACTAAAACGCAGCATAACATATGTCAAATCTACTGCTTTCTCGATAAAACCGACATCTTTTTGGCCACAAAACTTAAAGGAGGAGACCAATCGACAAAGTTTAAAAGCTAAAAGGTTTTCGCTTTGCCAATGGCACAAAACCAGATCACCCACCACTTCACTCTCGAAAACTTTACTTCAAAAAACTGCATTTATCCCTAAAATTCCATAATTCTACTCCCTCAAACACCCCACCAGAGAGTTCCTACTAACTTAACCTAGGCCCATTCAAGTCTAATAATAATTGGCAGATCCAAACTTTCAAAAAGCAAAATTCAAAAAATCAAACAAAAATTACAAAATTCAATTGAAAAATGCAAGAAAAATGAACTGGGAATTGGGCAAAGAAACATACCATAGTTCGCCAGTAGCTCAGGAGTCCGACATGCAAGTGAAGCGCCTCAATTTTCAGGGAAATTGACTGCAATGCGAGGGTTTTTAGGGAAATTTAGAGCGAGAATGTGAGGGAATTAGGGTTCGGAAGGGGCCATCTTTCTCTCCAGTCAAACAATGAATCCAAATTAGTCAGGAATTCCTTCTTCTTCTTTTTTTTTTTGGTCAACAAATTGTCAGTCAGAACAACTCAGAAGATTTACAGTTGAACTCAAGACACACGTCGAAACGAGTGGTCTTTTCAAAACTGCTTCCGCAACAAGCAATGGGGAGCTTTCGATGGAACTTTTGAAAGGCCTAAATTTCGCCCTATATAATATACAAAGTACAATACTTACCCTAACTTGACTCTCTTTGGCGTCTTGGAAGCAGACTAGATTTTGCTCTGTGTGTTCTCTCCCGGCAGCAAGTTGTTGCCGCCAAACCTCTCCGCTTCCAATGGCCGCCAACCATCTATCGCAGCTACTCCCATTAGGTTTGCCCACCCTTTTCCTATCAGAGGTTTTTGTCCTGGAAAATACTCAGAGTTGATCGACCGGTGCATAGGGTCGAAGATATGGGTGACAATGAAGGGAGACAAGGAGCTCGTAGGACTCTTGAGGCGTTTCGATGTTTACGTCAACATGGTCCTCGAAGACGTCACTGAATAGTATGATTCACTCTCTCATTTGGAGGTTTTTTTACTCGGTTTCTCAGCCAGTGAAAATCTTTATTTTTGTGAATGCTTCAACTTTTAGATTTATTAATGGGAAACTTATTCAAAGAACAAGACAGTTGCACGTTAATCAAACAGAATTGTCTTTGTTAGTATTTCAGTTAGAAAATTGATCAGGGAAAACAGTTTATTGGAGAAGTCTGAATCGAGCTCTTACAAGTAATAGGTAGTACAATTCATCCAACGGATTATATGAGCCTTCCGGAGCCACCCTCGACGTCGAAAGACTCGTTCATCGCTGTGAAATTCGATACCAGGTTTGATCCTATGGTCGCTGACCTCAATGGTTACCACATTGGTACTGATGTGAACACGGTTGTGTATGTTGCCTGTGTCGATGTTGTTTTAAGAGGAATTGATTTGACGAGTGGGAGGGAGATTACCGCTTGATTGAGTACAGAGATGCTGTCAAGATTTTCGGGTTTGGGTCAGATACTCGGCAACTAGGCCTCCAACGCCTCTTCTTGTTGCTCAGATTGACCTCTCCAACCAGTTCAAGGAGTTCATGCGTGTCAGTTTCTCTGCCTCGAATGGGCAGGGCTCTTCAATTCACCTTGTTGACAGGCAAGACTTTCAGATCTCTTCCAACCGGGATTACTAGTTACTACTGGTGAGTTTGAAGAAGGGGACTACTTCACGTGCACTTCACCAGAAGATTCAAGTACCAAAAGCAGCCCAGAAAATCGTACTCATGGAAGAAAAATAAAGGTACTGGGGATGGCTTTTGGTTTGGGAGGTTGAGCCGCATTTGTCCTCTCCATATTCGCATTCCGTTTCATTATTTGTTTTGTATGTGTGAAGGAGATAAAAGTCACTGCCAGAAGGAGCAGAGAGGGCAAAACTTGTTGAGTTGAGGCGAATAAAGTTCTGATAGGTTTGTCACTAAGATCAGCTACAATGGGGTTTAACCAAAACAGGGTTGTTGGGGAAGGGGCATCGGCTAAGGTTTATAAAGGGTCTCTGCCCTCTGGTGGATAAGTGGCAGTGAAAATGTTTGAGAGGGCTGTGGAATTGTTAATCTGCATCATCCTTAAACCATAGAGTTTGCAACTATGGTGAGTTGTTTGCGGCACAAGAATCTGGTTCAGCTTCATAGGTGGTGATGTGAGGGTAATGAGTTAGTCCTGGTGTATGAGTATGCCCAATGGAAGCCTCAGCTAAGTTCTTCACAAAAGCTTCAATTCAGCAATTGTTCTATCCTAGAAGCAAAGACTTAATATAGTTCTCAGAGTCTCATCTGCTCTTGCATATCTTCACGAGGAGGGCGAGAGACAAATAATTCATAGAGATGTTAAAACTTGCAACATAATGCTCGATGCAGATTTTAAGCCAAACTTGGAGATTTTGGTCCAGCAGAAGTGTATGAGCATAGTTCCATCAGTGCAAGAGAAAAAACTATACCGGCCGGAACAATGGGATATCTTGCTTCGGGATACGTTTATTGAGGTGTTCCAACTGTTAAAACTGATGTTTACAGCTTTGGTGCGGTCGTATTAGAGATGGCAACGGCGAGAAAGCCGGTGGAGGATGATGGAACAGTGGTGGTTGATTGGGTTTGGAGCATGTGGGAAAAAGGGAAGCTGATCGAAGCTGCTGATCCGAGGTTGTTGGGGAAATTTGATACGGTAGAGATGGAGAGGATGCTGATGACTGGACTTGCTAGTGTGCACCCAAACCTTGTGAAGAGGCCAACGGTGAAGGAAGCTGCAAGAATTCTGAAGGGCAAAAAGACGCTCCTCTGCGGCCTTCAAGAAACCAAAGGTGAGCCTTCGGCCTGTTTTGCCTGATGAGTTTGAAGAAATCTCGTTCTGCTGTGGTGTTCGGCCATGTCTTGAACTCGATGATGTACAATATTTGACTCCGAATAACCACATTGGCAAGGATTAGTTGCTCGTAATAGATCAAGTAACATCGCAATTAGTAGGATTTCAGTGCAGTTTGTAGAAGAGAAACTAGGAGCTTGTTGTTGACTGGGGAACTTGAGGAACCCCTCATTTGTTTCAATTAATTTGCAGATTTTGTAGTCTGAAATTGTCTGTTTTGTCATGATTGACATGGTCTCAAGCATTTTGTTATAAGCTGATGGACTTAATAATTCAAATGATGTTGGAAAGATGGAATTAAGTTTCGTGTTTCATCCAAATATTCCTTTCGAATTTTGTTATTTGTACAACAATAGATGACTGCAGATCAAGACAAGAGTGTTTTTCCATTAGTTACAAAAACAGACTGAAACACGTCAATTGTTTCTGTAAAAAATTGAATTCAATTCCCCGTGTTTTCAGAAAATGAACCTCGTGGTTCATTCTTGTACCAGCAAGAAACATTGAGGCCAACTCCACGGTGATTGGATAGTATTTGTCCTGCTTCAACTCCAGCCAGCTTTGCCAATTCTTCCCAAGTTTATGATGCAACTGACTTTACAGGGCACTGAAATGAAATGAAGAAACGAAAAACTATTGCAATGAGAAATTAAGCAGATTGAATTCATTGACTAAGATGGCGAAGAAAAAATTTATCTTTAATGACAATAAAGCTGATGGGATAAATCGATAGGGACTTGCCTACATTTATTATAAGATGGTGACTAGTAACAATGTCTTTTGTGGATTTGTTCAGTGTCGTTGAAGCTAGCACTTACAGGTCCACTTGAAGTTTCCTCATCGCTGTAATAGCTCTTCCAAATCTTGCTTGTACACCAAACGAGCCCCACACTTCTTCACACTATTGAAGTCCACGCATTGTTTTGGCACTTCGATATTTTCAATGGAAGTTTTGAATAAAAATTGTTCATGATGACAATTTTCACGAGTCCAATAAAATACCCAAAGATGGTCTGACAGAAGTGACCCTATTTCAAAACCCAAAAGGTTATCCGCTAAAAACTTAATAATAAAATAGCCATCCTGAGAAAGGTCAAGTGCATTGGGCAAGTTTTGGTTAGGATCTTGAAAAACAAGACAAAAGGCAATCCCCAACCAGTCGGTACATGATGGTGGTGGAAGCTTCACATTTACTGAATTTCCCACACTCTGATTACTGAACCACTCTGGAATTTCACTTCCAGGCCATACAGGGCGCTCTATAAAAGGTAAATGGATTCGGTAACTGTAACAAAAGAACTATTTTAGAGAGAGAGAGAGAGAGAGAGAGAGAGAGAGAGAGAGAGAGAGAGAGAGAGTACCGCACGATAAGTGGCAAATCTTGGAATCCTTGAGAATATGGATTCGGTAACTGTAACAAAAGAACTATTTTAGAGAGAGAGAGAGAGAGAGAGAGAGAGAGAGAGAGAGAGAGAGTACCGCACGATAAGTGGCAAATCTTGGAATCCTTGAGAGTATTGTATTAATCCAGCCTTCATCTTGAACCAATGCAATGCAATTCTTGCAACTAAAGGCAAAGTCATACAAATTGGTGAATCTGCTGCTCAACTTGGATGCATCTCTCAACCTTTTTAAGGATGTACAATTGTCTACATTCACAGATAATCCGCTATTTGATGGAAGAGGTGGCAATTCTTGAAGTCTTTTGCACCTGTTCAGATAAAGACGGTCGAGCTTAGAAAGGCGTCTAATGCTTTCAGGTAGACTGACGAAATTATTTCCACTAAGATCCAATCTTTCCAAAAAGGACAAGCAGCCAATATCATCGGGGATATCTCCTTCACAGAGTTCACAATCTTGTAGAATCAACTTTCTCAAGGAGCAAAGACGATTTAGAGAAGACAACACCATACCCCAACAAGGAGGATCAGGATGACTCTTTCCGAGTCGTAATAAGCGGTGAAGGCCCCACCCCTCCCTTGCTTTAGCGTCCGATCCCTCAGATATTAGATATCTGAGATTTTTCATACCCACAAACGGCTCTTTCATAGTGGCTCCTAAGTTAAGAAACTCTAAGTGATCCATGTCTCCTGGGAGTTTGTCAATCTTTGAGCATCCTTGCATTCGGAGTTTTCTAAGAGACTTCAAGTTACAAATATCCCTTGGAAGGTTCAAGAGATTTTTGCAGTTACGTAGACACAACTCTTCAAGGGCCGCCAGATGTCCAATTGATGAAGGTATTTTCTTGATCGCAGTCCCTTTTAAGGAAATCAGGGACAAATTCTTCATCTGCTCCCCAAATTCTGGAATCTTTTTCACATTTGAGCAGCCATCAAGATTGAAAGACTCAAGAGAATCCATTTCAAGCTTACTTGGAAGGCTCTTAATGCTTTCACAACTATTAAGGTTCAAAACTTTAAGTTTTTTAAGGAATGCAATAGACCGGTGGATCTCGACTAAATTCTTACATCCCAAAAGATGCAACGTCTCAAGATTTGGAAAACCACTGAAATCTGGGGTATTAATCAATTGATTGGAGAAGGCAAGATCGATATATTTCAAGTTGGGCAAGTCCTGTACAACAATCGATAAGGTTCAGATCATATATTTGGCTTCTACAACCTTAAAATTTATTCAAAACAATAAATAAATTAATAAATAAAAAGTAAATGATTATTTTGTAAATTAAATAGCATTTATTCAAGGGTGAATAATAATTAGCTACTCATTAGCGAGTACTCTAGACTCATTTTTTTGTTT